AGACAAGGAAATGGGTACCAATTCTAGTATGCTACATGCCACCGAGGGGCAAATATGTACATCGATAACTCCAACTCCAACTGGAGAGGCCTGGCAGTGTGTAAGGAGGGAAGAGACTTGGATCATTTGGCAACAGGGAGAGGAGAAATGGAAAGGTGGAGGTGAGACGAGAGAAATTAATGAGAAACTGTGAGCCTGGACTCAAGCAATAATCATGTAGAAGGAAAGAGGAGACAGAGTCAAAAGTTACGCCAAAAAGTAGAATCAACACTATCTAATTACAACACTAACTCAGGGCTAAGTGATAAGGGAGACTCTCAAAGTCTCTGTCTTGATGACTGGGTAGGTGGTGTTAAGTCTTATGACTATAGGCAATACAGGAAAAAAAGAAGTTTGAGGGGCGAGGGAGTAGGTTGGAGGTGATGAATTTTGATTTGATGAATTAATATGTGGAGTCCAAGCTGCAGTCAGGAACAGGTGCCCAGTGGAGTTAGAAATCAAACCTGAAACACACACGAGAGGACTGCCCTAAATATATAGATGCCCTTCAACTTTTATATTCAAAAGATGGAATAGGAAAAGTGTGTTAAGTGCTTGGTTTTAAGATTCTGGGAAAAATAATATTGCTTCTATTTTATCACTGTTATTTTTTAATCTTGAGATTTGAGGGACCGGATAAGGGACAGGGAAACCTGATCACGACCTGAAAATAATCTAAATCAGATCTCAGCTCAGGACACTAATAGTTAGGGTTTACCATGATGCTCAGAATTAACAATAAATATTAGTTCAAGCTTAAAGGATAACTATTCATGGAGATAGGAGGAAGGAAGGAGAGTAAGAAGAAGAAAGGAGGAATGGGAGGAGGGAAGGAAAAAAGGAAGCCAGGGAGTAGGAATGGAAACCAAACAGAAGGACATGGTTTAGCAGAGTAAAAGCCAAGGTCAAGGAGGAAGTGATTTATTGAAAATATGGTGCAATCAGGTAACTTTCTTAAGAATTAAGCTTCTCCATGACCTGACACTAGAAAAATCTTCTGATTCCCCCATCAAGTGATTATTTCTTGGATAAAAAAGATCAGTCCTTCTCTACCTTTTTCATGCAGCACCCCAACTGAGGCATACATGAGAATGTTTCTGTATCCAGAGAAGGGGGTGGGGGGGGGGTGTTGCCAGTGTGGATGGAAAGCTCAGAATGAACAGGTAGCCATGGAAAATGATACTCTAGAAATTTCCATAGAAGAAGAAAGAATGAGAAAAAGTAATGGCACATATTCAAAACTAAACATAAATAAATAATCTTGGTGCCATAGAAAGCTTCAATCAAGAGACTCAGGCTCCTCTTCTGTTTCCTCTGATGTCTTTAATTCAAATGAACACTTGTATCTTGAGTATAATCACATATATAAGGAGCTATGAAAGGTACCATAATTCTAGGGCCTGGAGAAAGGGGCTTGAGTTTTTTCAGGAAAGAGAAAGGCCACATAGCATGTGAGTTGGAGTGGGCTTGGAAGGTTCTAGAGAAGAGTCAGAGCTAAGTTGGGAAGCCCAATTCCCTCCTGCCTTGCTGTTGTATACTCTGCCATATTGGTCACACAGACGTGACAGGTTAAGAACGAGAAAGAAGTGAGTTTATGAAGGACTGTTAGCCAGTCTTCACGTCTGGCTTTCCTTTCTTTAACATGCTCACATGTTCCCACAAACTATTTAGGAGGGAATCTGCAAGTTCATGAGGTGTCAAGCAACATGGGCCCCTTTAGCCAGGGTCTGGGAACACCCTAAGAAATCTTGCATCACATGCTTCAAATTCTATGCATAGTAAAAAAAAAAAAAAAATTAAGTGCTGTTTAAATTAAAGTACTGAGTGGGGCACCTGGGTGGCTCAGTCAGTTAAGCGTCCAACTATTTTTTTTTTTTTTAAAGATTTTATTTATTTGACAGAGAGAGACACAGTGAGAGAGGGAACACAAGCAGGGGGAGTGGGAGAGGGAGAAGCAGGCTTCACGCTGAGCAGGGAGCCCGATGCGGGGCTCGATCCCAGGACCCCGGGATCATGACCTGAGCCGAAGGCAGACACCCAACGACTGAGCCACCCAGGTACCCCTAAGCGTCCAACTATTGATTCTGGCTCAGGTCATGACCTTAGGGTTGTGAGATCTGGATCCACACTGGGTGTGGAGCCTGCTTGAGATTCTCTCTCTCCTTCTCCTTTCTGCCTCTCCCTACTCTCCCGCAGAGAACACGCTCTCTCTCTCTCAAAATAAATAAATAAAATAAAATAAAGTACTGAGCTAGCTAGACCTGGCTCGAGCACACTTACAGTGAGCTAATAGAGGGGAAAATAGTCAATATTCCAAGAATGGAGCCAGGGAGAAGTAGAAATGTCATGGGTTTTTATTGCATATTTGTCAGGCTTATTATAAGGTAGTATACTCAATTTAAAAGCTGCCTATCAATTACAAAATTATATGCAAAAAATTTTAAGGATTTGTATACACTAGCTTAAGAGGTATAGAATGCATGCAGTAGATAGTGCCAAAGAGCCCTTTGGGACTGTCTAAAAGAATATCATTAATTTTTACAGTGTACTTCCATTTCTGGAGCCATTCCAGCAGTGGCTTTCTATAAAAATCATTTCAAGTTTAGAATTATGCGCTTTGCTTGCAGCAACATCATAGGAGTAGTTTACCATATGTTGCTACTTAGCAACTTAGTCTGTAAGTCCCAAAGCATGTACTGATTTGAAAATTGAACAGGAATTATAATTGTTGAGTGACGCTATGAGGCAAGTTGTCTTGGATTACTGAACTATGCAGATGTTTGATGTTATGTAGGAAAAGGGATAAAACTATTTTTTTTCCTGTAAGATGACTAAAATCCTATTTATGGTTGCCGAAAGGGGTAAATTGATTAAAATTCCCCAAAAGAATACCAGGTAATGAATTTTTGAACAACACACTCTAAACACACAGTAAACAAAAGGAATGTTAAGTGTAAAATTTAGCGAAGGCCATTCAACTTATGTAATTTGCAAAGTTTATTTCCCCCAGAGTATGTATTATCTTGCATCAGTCTAATTTTTAAAATAGCACATTTGAAAAACATTTTCATATGTGCTACATTATTAAAAAATAGTTTGCTTCTGGCACACAAACCTGCCATATCTTTACAAAGCCCAAAAAGTATCTGGGGCTCTTTACACTTTCATAAAATATCACTGGTATTTAAAACATTCTTAGTAACTCCTGATTGAAATATTAAAAGAAATAATGTTAGTTGTTTGATTTTAGTCAGGGGCTTAATCTTATCCATTGTACTTGAATTTAAAAGTCTAAGGAGCCAAGTTGTTATGATGTATATGCTTTGAATTTCCAATCCTTTATCCAAAAGTCTTTAAGACGGACATAATGATTCTCTGAACGGGAGCTGCTGCTTTATAACAGCAATCATTTATTGAGTTTGTGTTTCTACTGTTTCAAACAAATTCAATTAGCCCTTACACTTCAAAACCCTAAAGGCACCAAAGAGATGATACTGGGTTGCTTTAATCTAATAGTAATACTAAACTTGTCAGTACAGTTTGGGGATTGATGGTTAGAAGAAAATTAATAGTAACATTTTTCATTTTTTAATCAAACAGTCCTATTCACAACTACCTATGGATCTCGGAGGCTACTTAGCCAAATGAATTCAGCGAAGTAAGAATTGTAAATGCAAAGCTCAGCCTTCCAAAGGTATTCTGAAAGTGATCAACTCAGCTGAATGGAAGGAAATGGAGTCCGGATCTTTTGAACTTAATGATGACCTTCTCATCTAAACCATATAGTGTGGTTTCCAGAGTGTCTGCCAGGGAAGGCAGTGATGGTAATGACTTCTAAATGCAAAGTTCATGGAGAGGCAGGCTTGCCTCTGTTTTGAGTTAAGCACAAGACATTTTGTTCTTAGAGAAATTTCAAAGCTTCACAAAGTGCACCCCTAACATATACATTAGATTAATTCACTGACAACCACCATGAAGAAAAATAGAAGCTTTATTTTTGTTCTCTGTTCCCCCGACCCATCCCAGTTATCAAATATCTTTGGGCGGCTATGCAAGGCATTGAAAACCCCTGTGTTAGGGTTTACGCCATAGTTACTGATACATGAAACTTCAAACTGCCATGGTTTTGCTATTCTAGAAAAAAAAAAAATGTTCAAATCTACAAAATGCTCCTATGAACTCTCCCTCGCTTTCACTTATCCACGTGTTTATTTTTGCTCACAGTGTCCTTACATATTACATTATGCTGGCACCTTACGGCAGTTACAATTTTGCTTTAAACGCCCTCACTGGATTAAAGGGGCTGGTCTTAAGTATCTAAAAATAAATATCCCAGAATTCACTTTTATAAAGGTAACCATTTGCATTTTCATTGGACTTTTGTTGTCACTTCTCATGATTAAATACCTTGTCAACAATTCCCAGGGAAATGGATACAAACGTGCTCTTGAAAGGTTTCAATCAGATCATGCATTTTGGCCGGAAAGCTACCCACCCCAGTAGATTCTGAAAGCAGCCACATAGCGCTCACTGGCCACGTGATCTTGGTTACAAATATAACATTGTATTGAAAACTGCCCCAATAGTTGATAATTAAAGCTCTTTGTGACACGTGTAGCTTATAATGATTAAACTCCTCTATAGTCAGAAGCACAAATAACCTGCACCTGTCAAGACTTTATTTCCTAAAGGTAAAACAACTGTTTAGGAAAGATCATGCTGGCAAAACAGCTGCTTGCCATTCTGGAGAGAAAACAAGGTAGTATCTTTCAACAAATGCCAACTCCGGTGTTTTATCAGCTCTATCTCATTAACTGGAAACAAGGCTTAAATGCTTTGTTTATAAATTATGATTATTCCTGATTGCAGCAGTTACTGATAGTGCTACTCATTTGCAATGCAACTCTTTGAATTTGTTTAATTACAATTTGAAACAAGGCAGAGAAGATTAATTAACCCACCTGGCTGGCTGGCACATAGTCCTGGCTCGGCTCTGTCATGCTCATATACATGTTCTCACCGTCAAACTGCGAATGAAATAATAGTAAACATTCAGCAATCTTGACTGTGTGCATGTTTGTTGTTGCTGTTTTCACCATCAAACTGGAAAACAGTAGCCATAAAAAAAAAAAAAATACTGTGGTTGGGAATGCGGAAAATCTGTCATAGCAAGTGAGCCCCATCTTTTCTTTGATGTTTCTGTTGTCATCCTTCCTGACCCTGGATGTCAGTGATTTGGAGTAATTAGTGCTCTAGTAATTACAGCAAGCAAGCAAGAAATGAATGGTTTCCTTTCATCTGCAATCTGTTTTAAAACAAAAATGGCTCATTTTGCATACCATGTATACGGACTGCAGTTCTGTCGTAATGAAGTATTAAATGAATGGTGCTATCCACTATACAAATATACCAAGGCACAGCTCAAAGCCTTCTGAGTTTAGCTCTCAAAAATGAAAAAGTGCAGAGCTTTTATAACAGGCCAAAACTGGCTTCATCGCAATAGCCTTAGGATGAACAGTTTTAACTTTACAGTAACACTTGAAAAGAGTACGTGGGACTGCAACCAGGGCTAAGAATGATCATGACAATGAATACCAGTAAAAATATACAAGCTCTGCGATTCAACATCCCTCCTTAAAGTTTTTCAGAGATACAGAATTCATATTGGTATTACGGATGGGATGCACAGAAATTCATACACGGATTAATGAGTCGGGAACAAGAAGGGAGGAGGAGATTCAGGGGATACAATGGCAGAACCGTTGGATGGTTCAAGCAACGGCAACATAACAACAACAACAACAACAACAACAACATACTTTTCATTATTTGGGTTTTCGAAAGCAGTAATCACTCCATTCAGATTTAATCCCCAGCTATCTTTAGTCATTTGATAAATGGGCAAAGCATTCCTTTTTTTAATTCGAAGAAGAATTTCCCCTAGGAAATAACCAAGTGGACTAATACAGCCAGCTTCAAAGAGCTGACTCTGAATATACTTTCATTGCCAGACTAATCTCAGACATGGGAACTTGAAAATCTGAAAAATGACTTTTCAAGACAGAATAGTATTACCGATGGAGGTGCAAATACACAGCAATATGGACATATTTTATATATCATCAAAAAAGGAGAAAATTGTGCTAATAGACCTCGCATTCCACCACCTCTGAGCTGCTAACATAAGAGGGTTGTACAAACACTGGGATACCCTAAAGCCTCTGAACAGGAGCCTACAGCAGGTGGGTGCTCTGAAGATTCACAGAAACAAGTAAAGACCTTCCTAAGGACACTGAAGCACTCACAAGGTTAAATTCAAGGAACCGAAGGATTTCCTCACCCATCACCCGGCAAATGTATTTCATGTTCTGTGAACAAACTTATCTAAACAGATATGCAATCACTTATTGAACGATGGGGTTGTGAGGACAAGTCAGAAATAGCACACTGAGAAAAGACTAGCTAGACATTTGGTTGCTTTGTCATCTGGCTCAGGAGCCCTGAGTCCAAGTGACTTACCCAAGGTTGCTTTTCCATCAGTCAGGTGAATGCCTTCAACCCAAAGATAGGCTAGCCCCAGTCAATCCACCTGTTACTGCTAACAACTCAAAACCTGACAAAAAGCATCAGTCAGCATTTCTCCACCCCCACCCACTGTTGGTTTGTTTGCAAATGTTTTTAATGTTAAGATGCCAAAGAACCATTTAAAATATGGACAGTTTCTCTGACTATAACAAACTCAACTGAACAGAAGTAGAGGAGTGGATCAAATACTCCACGGCCTATGCATATTCTAGAAATGTGTTACTTTCTATTTCATCATCTCTAACTCATTTTCTAAATCTGGTGTCGTTCTCAAGCCAACTAAGACTTTGAAGTTTTGGTTTGAGTCTATCCAAAGTGTATGCTAATTGAGCATATTCAATATTACTGCTCTTGATAAGGACTCTTTCCTCAAAAAGTACCAATGCTTAACTAACGTTGAGCCAAGGCTGAAACAGCATTTTACAATAAAAGGTATGTGACTATGGGAATAGCTATTTTTTGGAGTACATTTCATGTCCCCATCACCTGCCTGGAGCTTTCCATGTATTAACTGATATGTATTAACTGATCCAATCTTCACAACAACCAAGAGTTAGGGATTATTATTGCATACATTCTACAAAGGAAGACACAGAGGCACAGAGAATTTAAGCTAGATGCTCAAGGTCACAGAGCCCTTACGAGGCAGGGCTGCCATTCAAAGGCAGGCAGCCTGACTTTCCAGCACAGGCACTTAACCACCAGAACATATAAATAGATTCTGAATTATAACAATGAGTTAGCTATCAATTCTGAAAATAGTGTCAATAAATTATCAAAGCAGAGTGTTGGTGATATCTCGACCCCGAGATACTGTCCAGAAATTCTATGGCATTGTGAGACTTTCAAAAAAGCAAGAGTCGGGCGCCTGGGTGGCTCAGTTGGTTAAGCAACTGCCTTTGGCTCAGGTCATGATCCTGGAGTCCCTGGATCGAGTCCCTCATCGGGCTCCCTGCTCGGCAGGGAGTCTGCTCCTCCCTCTGACCCTCCCCCCTCTCATGCTCTCTCTCACTCACTCTCTCTCCAATAAATAAATAAAATCTTTAAAAAAAAAATTAAAAAAAAAAAAAGCAAGAGTCATATCATAGTGAGCTGCCAATTTAGTAATCAGGCTGGTGGAATATCTCCAGATTATTTCTAATTAAGCCTCAAAGTATTGAGAGGAGGTAGGATGATGGTTTATTTTGTGTCAACCTGACTGGGCCACAGGGTGCCCAGATATTTGGTCAAATATCATTCTGGGTATGTCTGTGAGGGTATTTTTGGATGAAATTAACATTTGAATTGGTAGAATGAGTAAAGAAGACCACCCTCTTTACTGGGGAGGTGGGCTTCATCTAATCAGTTGAAGGCCTAAACGGCACAAAAAGGCTAACTCTCCTGAGTAAGAAGGAACTCCTACTACCTGACTGATTGAACTGGAACAACAGTCCTTTCCTGCCATCAGACTTGACTTGAAACATCAGCTCTTGGGTCTTAAGCCTGCCAGCTTTTGGACTGAAACTATCCCACGGGCTCTCCTTTCCAGCTTCTCCGCTATAGTTTTGGACTTCTTCACCTCCACAGTCAAATGAGACAATTTCTTGTAACAAGTCACACGTCCTGTTGGTTCTGTTTCTCTGGTGAACCCTAACTAAGAAGCTCTAACAGCTTCATTCTAGAGGACCTCCGATGTAGAAACACATGAAGGGATGACATCTGTTTCATGCTGTGCCTGCTTTCTAGGGGGACAGAAGCCGTGTGGATTTTGCTGTGAGAGTGCCTGAACTCACCGCGTCTCAGTACATCCCACATACATTCACACCTCTTTGCCCAGAATGCCTTTCTTCCCTTCTACTTCTCTTACACCCTTTGGTATTTTCTTACACTCCGTGGTTTCCCTGGGTCAGGGCTAGGCTGTCTGCAGCCTCTGGGCTCTCCCAGGGAGCCCTCTGGTTCCACGGGGGTTTTGTTATTAGGAGTCTAACTGCACTGAGCTGGGAGCTACCAGAGGACACACTGCACATCTTAGTTACCTTTAGTGTCTCTATTGCTTAGGGCCAGTGCATAGTGCATCCTTAGGAAATGTCTCAATAACAAAAATTAAGTAATACTTGCTTGACTAGATAGATTACTTTCCTAGAGAAGGCGATCACTTGAGAAGAGAAAGAAGATTCAACTTTTAGAGAATGGTTTGAAGGCTTTGGAAAGGGGTCAGCTAAAAGTTTTACAGTGGATTAAAAGTGGTTACTCTAGAAGCAAAAGCCCTTTAAAAATGTACAGAGAGAGCTAGAACACCATTACTCAAATACTAGGTGTCATTCTTCCTCAAGACTTGTATAATGAAAAAACATATAGACTGGCCAAGAATCAAGAGGCCAGGCTATAAATGAGCATATGCCCTCTTTCTGAAGAATTTTGAGTTGCCAAACAAAAATACTTACGTGTGTCAGAACAGGCCTAGTCATTCTCCTTGTGGTTGGACCAACTCTTGGGCCATGATCCTGGCCCTCCCCCAGACCCTACGCCCTCTCCACACACACCCCATCAGGTTAAGGTCATTGGGGTACTGTTCACAGCGCCCCCCACCCACACCCCTTCCAGGAGCTGATTCCAGGGATTCCCAGCAGGCCTTGACCACATGCACCATTCTTAAACTGCCCTCTGTGTAGTGGGCACATGTCATTTAAAATGGAATTACAGTGCAGAGAGCTCTAGACTTTTGGTCTTGGAAAGATCCATGAAAGCCTCATATCTGAACCTCTCATGTTATGACTGGAAAAACAGACTTTTTATTGGTCACCCGGTCCATCTGGGACTAGAATCAAGGTCTGGATTCCTAGTAGAAGACTTTGCCACCACGACATGCTGCTTTATACTCCATCACTCATAGAACCAGGGGATCAGGCTCTATGATTCTTTGTATTGGCACATGGCTTAGGTGCATAACCCACAATCTTGTTGCATTCTTACATTAATGACCCTGCTTTGCTTTACCTGGGACCACATATTAGATGAACATTATTAATAATTGTTTTATTAAAAATAACTAATTACCTTTCCTTATGTTTATCACAGTTATTATTCTTAGCAGTCAACTGAATTCAGGCATTATAACTTTTCAAAATATATCTAAGCATATGAGGACTTTTAATTTCCATGTATTCTCAATTTAAAACCTGAAGCAAAGTTTGAAAGAATAAAGAGCCTGGCTTATTTAAATCTAAATGTAAATGGCATCAACTCAGGATTAGCCTTTCTGACCAAGTGTTTTTATACTCTTTATTGTGTTTTTATTTCAAAGCACCAGGGGATGCAATCACATAAAAAGTCATTTATAATCTTCTACTACAGTTTTTTGAAATTGTTTTTAGAGGATATTAACCAAACCCATAATCCCAAAGAGCTTTTCAAACTAGGTAGTTATTATATCTTCTATTTAAAAACTGAAAGCTGACATCCA